ATAATTACAATAATTAATAAAAATTATTTTGTANTAATTAAATTTTTTAGTTAATTATTTAATAATTTTTTAGTTTGAAATACTATTTATATGTAAAATAAAATATGTTTATATGTATAATAAATACTATTTAATTGTATTAATTAATTTATTTAATATTTTTTATGTTTTAATTTATATTTTCAATAATTAGTTTTCTTTTTTTATATTTTTGATTATAAAGAAGAAAGCGTATAATGATTGTAATTTTTTTTATTTATTTTATTTTTCATTGTAGGAGAAAGAAATATATAATATAAACTATAAAAAAAAAAAAACTACAAATATCAAACTATCTTCAGGAAAAAATAAAAATTTATCAAATATTAATTTATTATATTTGAACATATTTAAGTTTTTTAAAAAATGTAAATGAAATAATTGTTTTCTTTTTTATACAGAACATACAATGTAATAAGCATCAACAAATTTGAAATTGATATTTGAATTTTTTTAATATAACAAATTTTTATGCAGGTTTTAAAATATGTTCTTATGGATAAGACTTATATAATTTATGTATAATAATTTTAATAAAAATTATAATATTTTTTTTTCCTTTTTTTTTTTTTATTTTATATTAATTATATTGATAAGAAAAAGAAATAAAAGTATAATAAATATATTTAAGAGTAAAATATAAGTTTGTATAAATAAAATTTATTTTATTATCTATGATTTTGTTATCTATAAATTAAAGTTTCAATCATTTTTTGATAATTCTTATTTTATACATATTTGAAATTGAAAAATTTGAAATACAAATAATTTTCATTAATGATTTTATTTAAAATAAGATAAAATATATCGAATAAATTAATATATTCATTTAATAGATAATTACACGTTAACATTGAATATATTTATTCTTAACATTCTGAAAAATAAAAGATTTATGTTTTATTTTGATAATGTGCGAACTTTAAATTCTAAGTTTCTAATAGTTTCTAAATAAAAATATTAGTAAAAGAAATAAACAAAAAAGAATTGTTTTAAGTTATAAATTTTACATAATTTTAAATTAAATTTTATTCAAATATTGAAAGTTTCTATAAATGATATATTGATAATAAATATATACATATATACTATGTAACGATTTATACATTTTAAATTGTTATCAAATATCTAACATACATACATATGGATTTAGCTAATAATGTACGATTTTTGAAATATTTTTAATAATACAAAAAAAAAAATTTTTAAATACAAATTGATCTATTGAGTTACAAATTGCAATAATTAGAATCGTCGAAAAACTTTTGCTTCTTTTTCTAAAAAACCAAGATCACTTATACTTTTTTAAATAAATGTATTTTTGATTTCATCATATAACTAATGTCAAAACGTTAATGTGTAACATAATGATTTTCAGATGACTTTGTCAAAATTAAATTAAAATTACTATTATATTATATTAACTATGAATATTAATTATGAAATTTGATTCAATAGATAAATTAGATAGTATGTACAATTATTTTTTTATTCTATAGAAGAATAATCAACTTGTTTCAATTTGTTTATGAAATTGGATATTACATTGGATATTACATTGTATATTGAATTATATTGGATATGTTATAATAAATGCTCAAATTATATATAATTTTTTACAACACAAAATTTTGCTCTTTTTAATAAATTTTTAAAAATTGAGATATAATCTTCTATACTTCTAAATCTTATATACTTATTTTTCTAGACAACTATAATTTAATTTAGATTTTTGGAATTTGCAGATTTCATAAATAATAGACTATTTCTATAAAAAAATTGATCTATAAAAAAAAGTTTACAAGAAATAATATTATCAATCGGTTCTTTTCTGCGATATATTAATAAATTAAAAGTATGTCCGATTCGACTAGACTGAATTTGCACCAATTTCTAGATATTCAAATACAGATACGACATTCAAACCAAAAACATTTAGTTTTTAGTTTTTTAATGTTATATAAAAAATAAACTATGAAATTTCAAATATTAATAAACATAAATTTATTACTAATTTGTTTATTATTAACCGTGTGAAAATAAAATATTAATAATCTCCCATTTTTTAAAATATGAATATTGTAAATACTTCTCAATAAAATTCTTATATATTATATGTATACATGGAATGTCCAAAAATATGGGAACATTTATAAGATATTCTTGGATTGTCTAAGAATTAGACTATATTGTATGACTAATCAATGTTTTTTATTAATAATTTGTTAATAAAACTGTAACAAAAATTTTTGCAAAAGAAAATTGAAATTATCTCAGAATCAGTTTACGGATATTCTCACATTTTTAAATTTATATATACTTCATATTGTTGAATACTTTAAACATGTAAAGCTTTAAAAATCTAATTTTATCTCACATGCTGTAAATATGAAATCTTTTCTATAATTCCACAGCAAAAAATATTGTTTAATAAATATTGTTAAATAATATTAATTTAATTTATGTTAATATAAGATATCAGAAAGACTTTACTTAACTTCTTATGCTAGATATGCATATTACATATATTATGAAAAAATCAGGAATTTGAATCCGAGACAGTAAAAGAAATTTTCTATTCAAGTTACCATTATTGATACTTCGAGTAATATTTATATTTATTTACTTATATTTATTTATCTTATCAGTTTCGATAAGTCCTATTCTCTTTCTTTTATACAATGAATTAGTAGATGTGACTTTTATAGATAATAGAAAAAAAAATACATATGATACATCATTTCAATTTATCCAATGGTCAAATTTCGCTAACTAAATTCCACATTTTTTCTAATAACAAATTCCTGAACTCCGCATAATATCAATTTCATTTTATATTTTACATGTAAAGAAATATAAATACAAGAAATTTCTTTATTCGCAATGTGATCCAAAATCTTTTTGAATTTTATTATATCATGTCCCGATTCACATTATTTGATAAGAAACATATATATATATATGCGGAAATACGCAAAAATTCATAGATTTTTAACCGATTTTTTTAGAACAATTAAACATTAAAGAAAAAAATAAAAAAAACTTCTTCCAGATCATAATGAAAAATAATTTGAAAAATTATTTTAAATGGTGTTTCATATCATCATTGAATCGCCGTAACAGCGATTTTCGTGTTTAAAAGTTATTGAAAAAAGCAATTTTGATCAAAATCGATTTTTCAGTGCAAAATTCGACGAGATTGTATTAGAAAACGTCGTTTTGATTATTTACGAAGTAGCTTGTTTGTGCCTGAAAATGAACAGTAACAATCTTTAAATGTTAATCAATGCTTAAAAAAAAAAGAAAAAAAATTTAATATAGAATTAGCAATTTAAAAAATAATTTGATAACTCAGAAAGAAAAGAGATCAAAAGGAGAGAAAAAATTGATTAAAACAAAAATATATAATAAATAATATATAATAAAATATAATATATAATATATAGCAAAACTGTCATATTTTATATGAAACGCAATAATTTAAATTCGATTATTTAAAACTATATTACACACATAGACTATTAACATTACTATTATTAATTTGATTAATCGAGATTTTACTTCTAATTTAATATATAATCAGTATATATTAAATATAATAATATAATATAATATAATATATAATTAGTCATAAGAATTATTTTATACAATAACTTTTAAAGAAATTCAATTATTTTGAAAAATTTGATTTCAATGAAAACTTATATAATGCAATATATTAAAATATTATATATAGAATAATTTATTTTTGGACAAAAAATTTCTCTGAATATGTGAAATCAACTCTCATTTTTTCATGTTTTGTGTACAATTTCTTCTGGAAATATATTTTTTCTATCTCCGATAATAGAGATAGAATTAAATATTTTATAATTTAAAATTTTACTTTATTTTGAATCATTATGAAATGAAATTATGTAAAGAAAAAAAAAATAATATTGAAAAATTGATCTCACTGCTTTGAAATGATATTCTATAATAAAAAAAATGGTTTCATATTATTATACTCGCAATATTCATTTTTCTTTTTTCGTTAGAAAATTAAAACAGACGGAATCTAACATTGTTATTTTTGTTCTTCTACTATTATAATAAATGTATATTTGCGTACATTTTTATGCTTTTTAGATTTGTGCATTTGCCAGCGATATATAAAATTATCAGAAGAATTTAGTTGTATTATAATATTAATTTCAAGATCAAAATGATTTAAGCATATCAAAACAACATTAACGTTAATGGTAATGTTAGGTAACAACGATTGGATTTGAATGTATTTTATCTATTCATGTTATGAAAAATGAGTTTTCTATTATAATTCAATTTAATTATTGTTAGATTTTTATTATTAATTTATATTACAATAATATATTTAAAAATTAATATATTTTTATGCATTACAAATTTAATCTGATTTTACATTATTTTTTTTTAATTTTTAAGTTATATTAAAATATTTTAAATGCTATTTATTAATATTAAAAATAATTATAATCATAAGTTAAAATCGCGAACCAATTGAAAATTATCACAATATGATGAAATAAAATTTCTAATTTTTGCTATATTAAAGCCTATTGAAAGAATTCTTATATTTTTTTAATATATAATAATTTTTATTCAGTTTTATATAATTTTATGATTTTCTTGTGCTTTATTTGCTTTGTTTTTAATTTATTTTTAACTTTTTCCCTATATTTTAAATTTTATTTATTATTATGTAATATGTATTATGTATTATGTATTAATTATCTTTTAATGAATTTCTTATCTTCTTTTTAAACTTTATTATTAATTATTCATTATTATTATTATTTCAGTTATATTTTCGTGCGATTTAAGCGAATAAGAAACCATGTCAGCCAATCAGGAAATCGCTGAAGTTCAATATTTAGATGATAATAAAGGGGAATTGCGTTACATCGATATAAATATATCGAAATTTGTGGAATTTGATATTTATTAAATTTAATGGTTTAATTTGTAGATTATTAGTTTTTTTAAATTAATATATTTGTATTGAGTCATTTTTTACAAGTATTATTATATCGAAATTAAATTGATTTTTTATCATTACCAATAATCCATACTAAAAATATCCGAAGTCAAATTTGAATTTAGTTATTGTTTTATTTTAACATTGTTTAATGTAAAATTGATTTTACGATATTTCTAATTTCTAGTTATATTTGTGCAAATTATCGTTTAATTAAATAACGGAGATTAGATAATTAATGGAATGATTTCAAAAGTGCATTAGGTTATGCATCACAATTTTCGTGCAAATATGGTAAGATTTGATTTATTTTAATAGAAGACAGTAATTATTATAAGTTTCTCTTGTTTTTTAATCATATGTCAATCAATTTTATACATATTTTCATATTAAATATGCCATTTAGCATTCGATTCAAAACTGAGAATATTTCTTATAATAATTCTGTTTGTTTAGAAAATAGAATGTATCGTTTTTATATTTATTTTGATATTATGTTCAAGATAAAAAATATTTTGTTTTCAGATAATCGATAATTCATGATTATACGTCGCTCCATATATTTCGATTTGTTGCCGAACTTGAAGCATATCTTATTCCTTTTCGTCCAATTCGATAATCAAAATCACAGCGGGAGATGTCATTCTTCCGTCAAAAATCGTGTCTTTGGATGTTTCGCTTCAGATGAC